GTTGGGTGTGTGAACAGTATCCTCATATGTCATTACCATGACATAGATTTTTCTGTATAATGCATTGGACCATAAAAATTGTTATATTACTGCAGAAATTACAAATTACCTAGGCTGGCAAGTGTTATAAACATTTCAAGGATGATTAATTTCTAAAAATAACGAAGTTAAGCAGAGCTTAGACGTCAACCTGACTCACAACTAATAAAACACTACTTCATAGAAAGAATTATATGATAAAATACTATGTAGTTAATTGTAATTTTGCACTTTTTCAAGTTTCATATCTCATTAGAAGTTACAAAATATATGAGTATTATCTTAAATCTTTGACATTAGTATTATAATTGTAAACACAGATAAACAATAAAATGAAAATTATATAAAAATAAATATGCACCTGATCATTCTTTTGTCCCTGCTAAGGACTGATGCAGGATAACCAGTAAAGTCCCTGAATATATAAATACAGATGCAACTTTAACAATAGGCTTGCAGAAAAAAAGCATGAATAAGGTGGTTCTAGAAGCTTTTTTAATATTGTAGTTGATTTTGTTTCTGTGAAGACTCTATAAAACATATTGCTTGCCGTTATTCCTAGTTTAAGTGCCAGTGGTCCTGCTTTCTACCTCTTCAATTATGATGCAGTTGTTACAAGTGAGGTTCAATTAAGCCAAGATGTAGTTGAAATATTTGAGCACCACAATCACCATCTGAACTCCCAAACAGCTGGGCCTTGGATGTAGTTACCTTCCAGGAACAGGTCTCACATCCCAAGGTCCCACATTGGACATTGATATTTCTTTACTGCCAATCGGAATGAACCCGAGGTACCTGCACTATTACTTGGTTCTTGTTCTCCAATTTCCTTATTTTCCCTTGCTCCCAACCACTTCAATAGAACAACAAAAAAAAAGAATCCTTTATCTTCATACAACACTACAGTAGTGCACAGCAAAGAACTGGCCATCTGCTTCAGCTGCTCCTCTTTACTTCTGCCAGGTCTCATTGCATTATAGATAAGGATTTTATGGCTCTACAGGAAGGGGACACAGTCATGGAAAACAGAAAAAGAGAATTACAGAAGTACACAGAGACATAGAATATGGACAGATAAACATAGAAGCAGGGACATATCCTATTATTAAAAATTGTACATATTTATGCAATACTGATTTACTTGTTTTGTTTTTCTATATAAAATATTGGCCAGACTTTTTAGAGCAATGGGGGGATTATTCAACTAACATAAACATTATCAGAGTTAAAATTTTAGCTTAGTTTCTAATTTTGTCTATGTAGAGATTATGCAAAAATATAATACTAACAATTATATATAACCAATTAAAATAGTAATTTAAACATTCCTACATAGTGAGAATAATTTTGTTTAGATATTAGTAATATTGATAATAATTCTGTTTACATACTAGTATTTAGAAATGTTTCGAAAAACATAAATACTGAGGTTAGAGTAGAAAAAGATTTCTTTCCATTCTCAGGGTTAGAATAACAGTAATTATTTATTTTCCTTACCTAGTAGTGCTCAGGAGTTTACCTCTATTACAAGGTAAGAAAGGAGTAGGGAAAAAATGAAAGGTTTATCAAATGCCAAAGCACTATGTTAGAAGTTACAAATATATAATTTCATCCATTTCTTAAAATAATTCTGCAAGGAATAAATGTTCATTCTTGCAAACGAAAATTATATTTTTACACATTTTTAGGTTACTGTAAGCTCCTTGAGGGAAGTAAAAGTCTTTTGTTCACTATCCTGTCTTTAGCATCTAGTAGTTTTCTGGATTGCAGTGGGTAATTAATGATATTTATTAACTAGTTGACAGATAAACAGGATTACAGAGCCAGTAGGTGGCAGAGTTGGAATTTCATCTCCTGTCTGTCAGACTGCAGAACCCCAGTCTGTCTGTCCCAAGAACATGGAAGAGGTAGACGGTTAATGTTTCTGCCTCACCTGCTCCCAAGTGACCAGGAGAGTTGATATGAGATTCTATGTAGAGAGGAATGGTCTTGATAGGAGTTGGATATCTACTGGCAGCAAGAGCAGAGCTCAAAAGCCAAGTCCTTGATTTTAAATTGCCTCTGTGTCATTTAATAGCTGTGTGACCTCAATTTACTTTACCACAGGGTAACTCAAAGTCTTTATCTGTAAACATAGTGATGATCATAACAATAACAAATAATAAAAATAAACCCATGCACTTATAGTGAATATTAAGTGAACTAAAACATCTTAAGTTTATGGCTAAAAAATCACTAGTCATCATTAGTAATTTTTTTCTGAAGAGTGGGATAGCAATTAAGATCATTACTCAGAAAAAAATAATTCCCAACGGTCAATAGAGCAAAAGATCTGGACATCTCAACAACAGTAGCAAGGAGATGTCAGCAGAGAATATGTTGGAACCAGAAGTACTTCTGTAACTGTGACATACATTTTAACTCAGTCATCTGAGGTTTCAAGTTATGCAGTGTTCTCTTAAGCCAGGATAGACAGAGACTCTAAAAATTCCTATCCTATTATATTTCAGCACTTGATCAAAGGTACATTTTTCTACTTATGAGCAAGTTAGGTTCCAAAAGGCTGCTTAAAAAACCCTTCGTTCACAAGTCAGAAGTGGTATCACAAAGGCAAAAGAAAAAGCCTTCTTATAGAAGGAAGACAAAAACCACTTGCATTTTCTCAGGTGCAATGTTTTAAAATAAAGGATAAAGTTTATTTTGAAAAAGTTTCTACATTGTTTTTTCCTCTGTGGTTCAAAACTCAAGATACTATTGAATAGTCCACATAAAATGGAAAGAACTACTTTAATTTTTAGCCCAGAGTATTTTACATACCAGAACAGTCTTTTATGTCTCCTATCATTACACTAGTGGTTGATTTAATAGTTTTCAGAGTTACTTGGAGATATTCTGTCTCTCTTTCTCTCTCTCTCTCTCTCTCTCTCTCTCTCTCTCTCTCTCTCGTGTGTGTGTGTGTGTGTGTGTGTGTGTGTGTGTGTGCAGGTGTGCTTTGAATACAGACTATCAATCCCAAAACAAGACCCAAGACCCATGGCTCAGCCACATTTTGGGGTCCGCTGAAATATATAATATGTGTCAGTTTTAAGGACAAGGCATTTTAGTTTTGAAAAGGGAATATTTCTTACATTATCTGTTTCTGCTATTTTTAACCTAACTTTCTCTAACAAGGGTAATTTTAGTGTGATTTTTGAACATGAATTGTGTGTGTGTGTAAATCTACGTGTAGATATTTTTCTTTTTTCCTTAGTATCAGCATTAAATAAGTCAGCTCTTACAGCTAATTCCTCATTGTTATAATTTACTGGAACAAAAATTAACTGGAGGGATAGATTATATAATGAAGGGAATTCACATGTTCAAGCACTTAATATTTGCTATGCACTGTGCTGTATTATTTACATATACTGTTTATTTTATTCTCAAAATAACATTATAAGGGAGGCATTTTTATAACATAAAAAGGTCTAATTTAGATCACCTTTAGATATATGGATAATTAGAAAAGCACCATTTCAAGTAAAATAGCTGTTTTTATTTTCCCACATCACAAAATGTTATATGTGCCCATACAGAGAATGTGACACGTTCTTAGTATACAATTAAGAAAACATTTTGAAATTTTGGACAAAGTTGCTTAAAAAAACATGGTTGAATTAGTAAGATTCTACTCCCATTTTAAAAACATCTCTACCATATAGTGAATTGTTAGAACTAAATAATTTGCAGCCAGGGGACTTTAGAGGAAAACTTCAAAAGAAGTTATTTTACCCAGTTTTTAGAATGACAGAAAAAAATATAATTCATGTTAAAATTTAAGAACAAAGGCCAGATTCAGAATTGCATCACTGATGAACTACAATGGATTTCTATACTCAATTAAAAACCAAAAGTGAGCTAAAGAGGCTAAAATTCATTTCAGCTGCTTGCTACGCTATAATATTTGAGACCTCCTAACGGTGGCAAATACAGCTGTGTGCTTTTTTCTTTGCTATAATTATCATGAACATATGAGAGACCGCCTACATTACAACATTTTCATCTTAGAGTAAAAAATCAATGATAATTAACCAAAAACATTAAATTGTGTAAGAAGAACATACATATAGACTTTATCAGGTTTTAGAGAGATTCAGTGAATATTATACCAAGTTGTACAGACATAAATGTCTCGCTTATATATTGAATAATGTGATATATTTTATAATATTTGCAAAGGTACATCATTCCTAAACTATTTTTCTACTTAAAATGCAAAGATACCTAAATGAACAATATTAAATATACATGTTTATTAAGAATATTAGCATGTTTCCATAAAATCACCTTTCTTTAAAAAGTGAAAACATACCTTAATATTATCTTCTTGTTGTATTGTTTTGGTTTTTTATTTGTTTGTGTTTCTGCATTACAAGGTATAGTACAGCAACAATTTCCCTTTATTGGGAGGTTATAGTTTGTGTTCTGTATATTAAAAATTGTGCAAAGTACTAAGTACTCAGAAAAAAAAATTAATTACTTGGTTTGAGAAAGCATATACTTTTGAATAAGTAGGATTTTACTTTTAGTTTTCCTTCAAATGCTCAAGTTTACTACATTAAAAATGTTTAAGTATGAAGATATGTAAGCCAAAAAAATTCACAATAAATGAGATAATAATTCAGCTGATTTTCCAAAAAATGTGGTAAAGACAAAAAATAAAATGCAAGAGCTTTTTTTTTTTTTAAAAAAAAAGCCTTTTGGTTATAAATACATTTCAATAGGCACTTTAAGAAATGCAACTGAAAAGTCATAACTATTTCAGCTTAAAATACACATTATGTTCTTTTAACTTTTTCATACTAACATAAGGTAAGAAAAAACCACTAAGTAATCTCAAAGCAAAGATCCCAAGGAAGGGTCTCATATGAATAAGTGAGACAACATTAAGGATTACACAAAAATCTACTGAAAGATCTTACCATGAATTATTGGAGCTAACAGCGTCATGAAAATTAGTAGCTGCGATGGCCACATGGCTGTCTACTCAGGTAGGGAGTAATCCTCAAGAAGGAGTGTTCAAATATGGAACAAAATACGTGTATTTCTAGTTCCCCTTCTGTATTCCAAGACTGATGATTGTTCTTTAAATTAAAAAGAAAAAGAAAAATTCCTCCGGAACAGAAACACCAATATTTCAAATCTGAAACCTGCAAAAAAAAAAAAAAAAAAAAGGGGGGTTATTGAATAAAATAAGTAATATAAAGGCATTATTTATATAATACATATATTACCATCATGCTTCTATCCTGGCCTCAGATCTTAATGAAATAAACAATTCAGTCTCTACTGAACAAATTAACTTAAATATACTGATTTTAATATATATAAAGAGATTTGGAGCTTACTCTGTGTGAACTTTTCCCACAGTATAATTTTACTAACATTAGAATAGTAAAATATTTCATTCATCACTGTTACCATAGTAAGTTTAAAACAAAAGGTAAATATATGTCTTACTTTCATTTCAGGATGCAATATTCATTGCAGAAATTAGTCTGCATATTAACTACATAACTTTTCTAAACATCTCTGTAAATCTGTGAACATCATAGATTTATGTTTACAAAAGATGTTACTGTTTTTGTTTGAATGTCAAAAGCCCCAGTACTAAAAATCAAGGCAAGGTATGCTTAAATCACAATTTATGATTATTAAAGATAGATTATTATGTCTAAAATTTCCTTTATGTTATTCTAAACACCTTATTTTTAACAGTAAGCATATAGATACAAGCTAAATTAAAATGCAGTTCAAATATAATTAATTCATTCAACAGAGGTTAGTTGAATGCTCACTGAAATACAAAGCAGTGGTCTAGAAACATGGAATAGAATATTGAAGAAAGCATGCAACCTATTCTCCAGGATCATACAATTCAAGCGAGGAATCTTGCTTAGAGGTGTCAAACATTAATAAATTTAAGCACTAAAAAAGTAACTTTATTGAACCAAAATAGTGTAGTGGCCTCCTCTTAAGTCTTCACAGATTTATCTTAGGAAACCAAAATACTAAAGTAACATGATCCAATCCTGACGATATCATCTTTTACAGTCAGCACCTTTCAAACTGATCAATCAAGCACAAATTGGGCCTACTTTCCTTTCTTCTTTTATTTTTTCTTTTTTTCTTTCTGTCTTTCTTTTCTTTTTTCTGTCCTGGAGATTGATACTTATTTTCAACAATTTCAGATTTTTAGAATTAAATGTAAAAATCTTCTGAAAAGGGATATTCAAAATTGATTAATGAGGAATGTATTAATAAGCTTCATTCTGTCAAAATGAAAACCAAAGTCTTCGAGGCAAAATTGTACAAAGTAATCAGATGTTTTGATATTGTTAGTTACGGCATGGTGGTTAAGAGCACAGATTCTGGAGTCAGACAACCTGATCTCAATTACCGTTCAACTACATTGGGCAAGTCATTTAACTATACAGAGTCTCAGTTTTCCTGTCTATGGTCATTTAACTATAGCATCTCCATTTTTCTATCTATGTAATCGGTGGGGTGATATTACTTAATTCATATGGTTACATGAACATTAAATGAGTTAAAATTTATAATTGTTAATTACATAAAGTACACAAAAGTAGCCCAGAACAATGCTGGCTTGTGCTAGGTGCTACAGCATTGGCGTTTATTTTATTCTACTCATCCTTTCAATGGGAAGCCATACAAAGCAAGATCAAGATTATTTGATAATTTAAAAAATATTTATTGATTCCTATTGTATACATAACCACCTACAGCACTAAATATGGACACAATAAAGATTTTTTCTTTCATTTCATAGATATGATGGGAAACAAAGCTCATTCTAGATATTCTCATAACATTTTACCTTTACAAATAGAGAAAGCAAAGACAAGAAACGAAATATGTGGTTGAAATAAAACAGAAACTAAGTGAAAACATGCACATTTTCATTTTGTTTTCGCTTATCCAATTCTGATCCACAAGAAAACCTGAAAATCTATTCTCAATTGTCATTTAGTGTATAACTCAGAAATTTTGAAAGCAATTGCTAATTTTAAATTACATTATTTAACATGCACAAAATAACTGACAGATACTTAAAGAGGGATATTTAAGTTGACAGGTAATTGACAGATTCGTGAACAAAATCACAATGCTGGATCCTAGCAAACCTCAACATTCTATTCCTGTGTCTTTTTTTGCCTTCCGCTGTGACCATGAAGCATATGAGTCAAAAGTTGGTATTAGGAGATGTATGTACATACACACACACACATACACACACACATACGCATAAACACATACATACACATAAATAGGAGATACATGTATATACGGCCTTTCATCACTAGAAGAAATTATTAGCTGCCATTTAGATGAATTATTTGTTCATTCTCTCAAACATGTGTACTAAATATTAACCACAGTAGATATTATAGAAAATGCAAATTAGTAGAACAGTTTTTCTCGCAACCCCTACTGTAGTGGGAAAAACAAACAAACAGGACACAGTAAAGCAAATGAAGTCACAAGGTAAAGAAGAATTAACCTTCATATGGTACACATTGTTCTATATATTACACAAAGTTTTAATGTAATTATCCATACAAATCTAAAAATCAGGTAACATCGTTCCATGTCTACTGAGAAGGAAAGTCAGACATGTTATGTGGCTAGAATTTCATGCCAAATTGACTTCAACATTAGTGATCTTTCCTCTATGGCACAAATAAACAGGAAAATAGATGAAAATAATTAGGAACATTAATTGTGCAAAGGAAAGGTACAACATGGGACTTCCATAGAAGACATAGGCCTTGCTTAAATGAAACATTATTTCATTGTGAAGGTTGGAGAACCTGGAACAGCAAGGATACATTAGGCAGGCAGGAAAGGACACAGAGAGGACATGCTGAAAAGGACATCAGTTTAATTACAGTGCAGCATCTATTGAAGGAAGAGAGAAAATTACTTCCATAGTGAAATATGAATATTGCTATTGTAACTTTGGTTTCAGTTACAAACAGAATAATTTATTTCATACAATAAATATTTTGCATTGATGAAATAATGGGAAAAAGTGATTTTATAGAAAAAATAAGGAAGTACATACCTATTAGTTATTAATAATGATTTCCCTTACGGTATTGTAGCAGGACATTGAGCCGTCTCTACTCAGACATATGACATTTGATTTAGGCATAGGGATTTGTTTTCATAATTATAATGTAAGTAGAGGTGGGAAAAGAAATTTATAGGAATAAAAGCTATTGTTTCAAGAGGGTGACATGTTCTCGCATTCCAGCCTCACCACCTCCCTCTCTCTAACAACTCCAGTACTATGCTAATTAGGGGTCATATATAATAAACTTGCAATAATTATACAATATAAGTTTTAATAGCTAATAGTTAGCTTATAAGCTACAGAAATATATCATCACTCTGAATTATAACAGTTTCTTAGAAAACTTTTCATGGTGATTTTTCCATTGAGATGTCATTAACGTCAACAAATTTATTTTCTTATAAAAATCTAAATGATTATCTGTCTTCAAACAAAACTAAGTTCATTATTCTTTACAATATCCAAAATTTAAAAGTAAAGTTGATTAAAATGAGCTAATTTACATCATTAATATTTAAATTTAGAATTTTAAAGTTGTGTTATTTAACACAAGCTCCACTAAAAGTTAAAAAAGAATATATTATGGAAAGAAATGCTACAAAAAGCTTAAATAACTAAAGTCTTCCATCATTAAATACTTGGAAACTTTAGTATTTATTAACTTTATGCTAATTTTTATTAAAATTGAACACAGACCCTGAAAGAATTTGAATTTTTTTTTGTTGTTATTCCTTTCAACAAAGTAAGTCTTCTAAACTGGAGACATTGATTTTACTTTCCGGAAACTTTCACTTTGAATTCTGGTGTCATAATTGTTTCCGCAGTTTAATTTTTTAATATTCTTTTCTTTTCAAATCATGTTCAAAAATTTCTATTTCTATCTTACATTAGCTTCCTTTCTATACACCAAACAGAGGTTAACATTAGAATCTCAAAACTTCTTATCTTAGGAATCTGTTAGCTACTCTTAAGTCACATTTCTGTAAGATAATTTACTCTCAAACATTCCCCCAAGTAAACTGAATATTATCGTACCTTTCACATCATAATACCATAGACAAGAAACTATATGTTCTTTATAATATTTTTTTTTTACATTTTTAAATTGCATTTTAGGTTTTGGGGGTACATGTGAAGAACATGCAAGATTGTTGCATAGGTACACACGTGGCAGTGTGATTTGCTGCCTTCCTCCCCCTCACCTATATCTGGCATTTCTCCCCATGCCATCCCCCCCACAACTCCCCAACCCCCGCTATCCCTCCTCTATTTCCCTCCAACAGACCCCAGTGTGTAGTGCTCCCCTCCCTGTGTCCATGTGTTCTCATTGTTCAACAGTTGCCTATGAGTGAGAACATGTGGTGTTTGATTTTCTGCTCCTGTGTCAGTTTGCTGAGAATGATGGCTTCCAGGTTCATCCACGTCCCTACAAAGGACACGAACTCATTGTTTTTGATGGCTGTGTAATTTTTGATGGCTGTGTACTATTCCATGGTGTATATGTGCCATATTTTCCCTGTCCAGTTTATCATCGATGGACATTTTAAATTTCCTCAACTCTTTACTGTTCACTTGTTATAAATTCTAGCCACAAATTCTACTCCAATATCGACTTTACAGGTTTTTGTTAATCCATATCTTATTCTTCATATTTACTTGTCTTTGTCATATATTTTTTGGAGGCCAATGTTTTCTGACATGTCCAGCACATACAAAATACAAAAAATGCCATTTGGTATCACCGTAATAGTGAATTGGTATATAGACCTAGAGCCTCATTGCTAATTGTAATACAGGCATTTCCCAGTAAGCATGTCCTGTTTTTTGTTTTTTCTTTTTGGTTTTTTGTTTTTCCCCTTATTCCACAGGGGGAAATCATAGCCATGGCCTTACAACTTACTTTAGGAGTGTTCAGAATTATCACTTAAGTGTTATATGTATTCTTCCAGGGTTAGTATATGGGATTTAAAATTTGAAAACTTTAAGAACATTCTGATTTAAAAACAAGCCTCTCCCATAAGTTATCTTTTTAATAATATAAAATTAATT